CGGGCCGGGCCGGGCGCGGGGCGGGGAAGCTCCCGGTCCCGCAGCGCACTGCGGGCCCTCCGGACCCCGCTCCCGCAGAGGCACTCCCGTCGCCAGCAGCTCCAGCGCGCTCCGCGGTGCTGGCAACGCCAAGGTGAGCAGGGCACGCTCCCGCCTGCAGAGAGCGTGGAGTCTAATCGAGGGGGCGGTGGTAACGGATAAACTGGACAATGTGACGTATTTGAAATGTATTTGAATAAGAACGCGCCGAGTGGTTTGGAAGTAGCAATTTTATGAAGTTGAAGGAATGGATGGGACATATCAGGATGGCCCCTAAGAGTCTTGAAGAAAAAAACAATTTGATTATATGCACAACCCAAGGACACGGACAGTGGTGGGGAGAGGGACTGTGGAGGGGTATGGGACCGGGTGGAACGGGTCATTGGGGAGAAAAAGGGACATCTGTAATATTCTAAACCAAAAAAAATTTTTAAAAAAATTTGATCAACAGAACATGAGTGGAGAGAAAAGCGGTCAAGGGATCCGNCAAAAAAAATTTAAAAAAAAATTTGATCAACAGAACATGAGTGGAGAGAAAAGCGGTCAAGGGATCCGCACGTGTGTACAAGTCAAAGGCACCTGAGCTCCTTGCTGCCGAGCCTCCCCCGCGGGGAAGTTGGGTGTGGATGTTGTGGAGCCGGCTCACGTGCTGTCCAGAGGAACTAGGAATTTAGGCGAGAACAGATCATATAAGCCCCGTTATGCCACAAGGAGGGGCCAGCTTTTCTTGGCAGATGATGGAGATACTAAAACTGAGGCAGCGCCATCATTTCAACCTTTGAAAAGAATTGTTCCGATATTTCAAACAATGAATGGACTGGAGCTTAGAAAGAATTGAGGCAAAGCTGCTGATCAAGAGTCTGTAGCATATGACATCAAAATTAAAAGTCTCACACACACACTGCCCTTTTGTAACAATATAGCAATGGTTTAGGTGAAAATGTTAAGATCCAGAGGTAAGTCAGGAAGAGAGGCGATGGGGGAATGGAATATTGAGGTAATCAGGAGGTAGACTCCAAAGGGCGTGGCTACTGATTAGATGTGGGAAGGTCAGATGGAGGGTCAGAGATAACACCCAGGTTTCTGAATGGGTGGCAGGGAGAGACGTGAGTGATGGACAGATGAAAGGGATGAATTCAGTTCTGTACAAGTTGAATTTGAGATGCCCGTGGATCAGCCACGCAGGAGTGAGGCGTATGCGTGTGGATTTCAGCTTTGGGCTGAAGAACCTTCATTTGAGAGTCACCGGCACAAATGTTGAAACAGAGGTGGTAGACGAGATCACCCAAGTGAACTGCGCAGAGATGAGTGGGTGCATGAGTTCAAACCCCAGGCCTCACGCCCGCCAGGACCCAGGACCCAGGACCCAGTCAGAGCACATAGTGCGCTAGGTATTCAGACTGAGACATTTACCGCAGAGAATTCATTGCAAAGGCAAGAAGTGCAAAAGGGATGGAGAGTGGCTGGAGGTGCACAGAGGAGCGAGGAATACCTGGAAGTCAGAAGCTGCTGTGGCCCCTGAGCGGGAATCCATGTCTGCACCTGCTGTCGCCCTGACGGACAAACTGTCATAGTTGGTGCTGAATCTCCTGAAAAGCTGTCATCTCCAGCAAGGCGGGCTCACTGAGAAGGTACTTCCTCTGCCCAGCAGGCGCGAGTCCAGAGTCACCTGTCCTTGCTGCTGCTCTAACTCCCTGCTACTGCCAGTCTTTTAGAGACAAGGCAGGAAGCTTCTCGGTTTCTCCTGTCTGCTGAGCTGTCTCCTACCGAGAGAATCTAACAGGAAGCCAACCGCCAGGAAGCTAGAAGTACACGCCTCGCAGACTCCGAGGCCAAGCAGCCCAGAGCCCAGTGTAGGAGGGGAGCCAGGCACTGACGCCGTGTGCTAACCAGTACGCTGAAATGCGCTAACTTGTGAGAATCTGGTGGCAGCAGGAGCATCCAGAGAACGAGAGAAGGAAGAAACAGATTAAGAGGAATGGAGGTGTCCCACGAAGAAGGGCAAGGCCAGCATTATCAAGTGCTACTGGAGAGTGTCCCTGCATTTGGCAATAATGAGATGGCTGACGGATTTATGGAGAGCAGTTTCAGTGTTGTGGTGGGAGCGACTCCAGATGGTGGTGGGCTGAGAAGTGGGAGGTGAGGAAGAAACTGTCAGTGTATAGCTGCAAGTTTGATAGCGAAGAAGACAGAAAGACAGAAGGGGTGGGGGAAGGTGCAGTGAGAAAGCACTAATGTGGCAATTAAGTAACCTTAGAAATTAATCTATGTGAATGTGGACCAGACATGTTTCTGAGACTTTCAAAATCCATACCCCTTTTCGAAAGCAAAAAACAGCAATAACAGCACCCCCAAAATNCGGTGGACCAGACATGTTTCTAAGACTTTCAAAATCCATACCCCTTTTCGAAAGCAAAAAACAGCAATAACAGCACCCCCAAAATAACTCAGGACCTCCTGGATATTAAGATTTGTGTGGGGGTGGGGCTGGGGGTGGGAGGCAGAGTGCCAGGGCTAGAGTAGGGTTTGGAAATGATTGTATTACCCTCCAAAACATGGAACATTTTCCCACTGTCTCTCCCTTTGTGGACTAACCCATGTTAGTTGCTGTGGTGGAGATTCAGGCCCCTAGGAAAGTAGAAAGTCTGTGATATGCCCAGGCCCGGAAGGGGAGATGTATGGCACTCAGCCACCCAGGGTGCCATGAAGGATCAGATAGTAAATATTTTCGGCTTTGTGAGACACTCCATCTCAGTCCCAGTTCCTCAGTCAGGCTGCCCAACAGCCCCAGGCAGCATGTGAATGACAGAGCTGGGCTGTGCGCTCCCTCCTGCTCCTCTCCCACTTCTCAGGCCTCTCCTCACTCCTTCCCGGACTTGCTCTCAGCTATTTTTTAAATACTGTTGTTCCTGGAGTTTTGTTCTTAACCTTCTTTTGACTTATGGACTCTGAAATTTAAATTTCATATAACTCTTGTAACTCACAAAATATATATATTTTTCAACCATTTAAAAATGTAAAAACCATTCTTAGTTCTCAGGCCGTATAAAAACAAGCTGGATTTTGCTCAGACCATAATTTGCTAAACACTGTTCTACGCATGTGCCAGAATTGGTATGGGGGACCCAAAATAAACCCACCCTCCAAAGAAGACCCCCACCGGCCCGTGGGGATGACAACCGGTTAATGAACACATTGTGCCGCAGATACAGCGGGTGGTTTGGAAAGAGGTCTGGGTGGGAGGGCTAGGAACACATGCAGCAGACACTGCAGCTCCTCTGGGTGGGAGGGTGGCGGCAAAGACCCGCGTGAGAGCTATAACCCCATCACCAGGACAGGACTGAGGCGTGGTTAACTCCTCTCTCCTGGTGTAAATGCAAAAAGTTCAAACACTTGTAACTGCCCCTCCCTCTGTGTAACCCTTCTTCCCATCAGGACTCTGCAACAACCTCCACAATAGATGATCTCAAAAACAGTCTTTCATCAGTTGGGGGAGTGATAATCATGGGCAAGAGAGGAGCAGGCAGCCAGTCTGGCCCCCCAGAAACTGGTCACTCTGGTCTTCAGATATGAATGCCTCTGAGAACACCAGCATGCCCACGGCTGACGCTCAGCTCTCCCATCTTTTTTGTCCTGGCAGAGCCAAATTTTCTGAAAAAGTCATGGCAACCATCTCTCCACTTTCATACTTGCCATTTAATACTTACCCCTCCACGGTGGGGCTGTTCACTAGTATTCTGGTGTTGCTAAGTCACATGGACTCTGCAGTCTCTGCAACATTTGACACTGTTGGCCCGGCCTCCTTCCAACCTTTTCAGCATCTGGGCAGCGCTCTCTCCCGGGGGTTCCCCCCATTTCCCTGGCATTCTGTCTCCTTTGCGCACTCCTTCCTTTCAGTTACCCTTTAAGTGCTGGTGTCCCTGGAGGTTGGTCTTCAACCTTTTCTCTTACATTGTCCATGTCCTGGATGGCATTTACTCCCACACGCCTTCCCTTACCACCGACTGGCTCAGCTCTACTCTGCTCCACACCCCTTGTCCCCAACTGCCTGTGTGTGGCTTCGTGGGGGTGTCAACAACAGCAGTTCTCAAACCGTATTCCCCACAGAAGTCTCCCTCAGGAAAATTTTTTA